GAGGGCTCCGGGCCTCGCCCTTTTAACGTGGATCACAGAGCTGTCGCACCACCCCCGGCCAACGGACCCACCCGGAACCTCTGCACGAGTCGGCGCCCGGCCCTAGCGCATTAAGGGCCCGCCACCGTGTGCCCCGTGCGCTTGGGACCTAAGAGGCCCGACATCCCGATGAGGAGCCAGAGGCTTCGGAAGGGACCCCTCAGCGCCGGGACTCGAACCGCGCGCTCCCGACGCAGTCCAGAAGCGTCCAGGGGAAACCTCGCAGCGCCCAGGTCCGGCCGCCAGGTGGCTCTCGCCCCCACCTGGGGGAGTCGAGCTGCGGCGACGGCTTGGCCACGGACGTCCCTGCAAGGCCTCTTATCAACGCTGGACCCTGGAGTCCACAGACAGACAGACGCGCCACGAAGAGTCTGGGAGCACGCCAGGTCACCCAGGGATCCCACTCCAGCTTCTTCATCTAGTAAAAGCAGTCCGCACCCACCAGTGACTCAGGCACACACCCAGCGTCACCTCCCCGCCCCCGCAGTCCACACCCACGCGGGGGCAAGCCTGTCCCCCCAACGTCGCTTGTCTCTGGCCCCGCAGCCAGCCCCTCAGGGTCTCCTTGCCACCTTTCCACCCCCAGCAACCGGAAAGATCACTTAAAATAGCAGCGCATTCTTCTGTGTAAAACCCAGCAGCCTCAAATTCAGAAACAAAGCCAGCGGTGGAAGCCAGGGCTGGGGAAGGGAGATGGGAGTGAGGGCGTCCTCGGTGCAGCTTCCCTCTGGGGTGACGAAAAGTTCTGGAGATGGTGGTGGTTATGGTTGCACAACAGGGTGAATGTGCTTAATGCCCCTGAACTGTGCATTTTAAAACGGTTAAAATGGCGGATGTTATGTATATTTCACAATTTTCAAGACCAAACCAGCCGCCCTGCAGCGGCTGCCCCCCGACACCTCAAAATCCAAACTCCCAGCTCCCCCCCAAGCCTCCATGGCTACCTTCATTCCACCCACACACTAAGTCTACGGCCTCTGGGCCTCTTTGGGTCAGTTCACCTTGCTCCAGCGCAGTACTGGCTCCCATCTTCCTCAGGGTCACCCTTCTGGCCCCATCTCCATGACCCCTTCTATAATTCTCCCCTAAGAGAGGCAGCATGGTAGCTGAGAAATAAGGATGACAAACAGGGAGCTCCCCCAGTGGATTTCTGGGGAGAACAGAATGAGCTAACACTGCATAGCTACTAGAACACAGCCGGGCACAGGTGGGCACTACACGAGCCCAGCTGCTAAGAAGCTCATCTGGCTCCTCCCCATTGGGTGAGGTAGGGACCTGCCTCCCTCTACAGGGGGCCCCTACCCCAGGCCTTCCCTCAGCCCTGCCTCACGTTGTCATTCCACATAGCAGAGACCTGCGACCATTTTTGTCCCTTTGGGCCTAGAGACACTTCCTTTAGCGGGCTCTGAGGCAGAGGCAGGAGAGACAGGGGCCAGGCCACGGATGGTGATGCCCTGTGACCCCCTGCACACAGGTGAAAGGAGGAAGGGGAGGCCCACCCTGGGGCCCGAATGTAGGCTGAAGGGAGTCATGACAACCCCAGAGCTGGGGCTGCACCAACCCATGTCATGGCTGTCTCAGAGCCAGCAGGGCCCCCCAAAGCCCATTTGCCTCCAAGGTGTCCTACTGGGGAGCCCAACAGCCTGTGCTCCCAATGTGGGGGGATTGGTGCTAGGGTTGAGAGAATACCAAAGGCTGCAGGGAGACACTAATG